TTACAGAAGGACGGAACGATCGGGTACGTCGGCGCCCTGCGCGTTCCCCAGAGCCAGCTTTGCAGCAGGACCTGATCCCACGGTAACTCGGAGTCCGGCAGGTTCATGGGGGACAGAACAGACCGTGGGGGTGAGAAATGAAGGAGATGAAACTTGGGGAGAGCCAGCGTTTTAGGCAGCAGCCTGGAATCTGCACGTAATGTCGTAAGCATTGCGTTCAGGTCGTGTTGCGATACCTTTAGTTATTCACACTTGGGTTTTGCTGGTGAACTCCAGTGACGTTTGCCCTGCCCAGAGCGTGTTTGGGGCTAACAGTGCTGCTTCTCCCCGGGAGCGCAGTGAAAGGCTTTGATTTCTGCGTGTCTGATAGCTTAAAATTACACAGGTGGGTTGGTTATTTCTGAGATGAGCAGCTGGTTAGAGTCAGGTGGTTGTTTAGTTCGGTTGGTGAGTGGTATTTACGGTTCTTGGGAGCGCACTACGCTGTGGGGCATCCGTCTTGTTGCTTAGATTTTCTATTGCGGCTGCTTTTTTCTTGCCCTAAAACTACGTAATGTAAAGAGCACAAAAGGTTTTTTTTTAACATATTTAATGATAGCAGAAAGTATATTGTAGATGCTGGGTGAAAGTGAAATCCATTTAGAGCTTCAGCATTATGTTACAGCACGATTGAGTTCTGTAAGTTTGTGTTACACAAGTTGAGGTTTAGCAGTCTGTAAGTCCAATGAACGAGATCGCTTTTTAATTAGGAGAAAAAAAAAAGAAGGTACTTTTTGGAACGTAAAAATCTATGAGGAATGTGTTTTTCCAGATGCGAGGGAGGGAGCAGCGGCTGGGAAAAGCACAGCTAGAGGTGGTTGTTGCCAGGGAGGGTGCAGATACGGGAAAGCAGGTGAGGATGGGTCCAACGTTCCGGGTGCAAGCCCAGCTCCTTGTGGCGGCCGAGTGCAGAGCTGGAGCTCGGCAACCTGGCGGGGCGGTTACAGGCAGCCTTGGCCACGGGCTGGCCTCGGGCTGAGTTACCTCTTCTCTTTACTTGGCGTATTGCATGGGCATTTTGAACCTTTGTGTTAATTGTTTGTCCCTTCTCTTGGCAGCCTGTGGACAGAGGGACTGAGCTAAGAAGGCCTGTGGGAACAAGATCTGCCAAAGAGGAAAAGCCTCACGACTTCACCCGCCCCGCGTGAAGGTGAGTGGTTTACTTCCCTTATGGCGTCAAATTGCAAACAGTTTATAAAAGTACATATTTGGCTTAAACTTTAAAATTCCGTAGCTTGTGATGCCACGGGGAGGGCGTGGGCTTCTGCTTGGCCCCTCGCTGGTTCCGTCCGGCGCTGTCGGACGTTGGTGCCTGGGGCTGGACCTCGTGTGTTCTTCTGGGCTTGGCAACATCCCACCAGCCCTGCTGCTCCTTCTGCAGCAGCGCCGTCTTTCTGCCTGGCTGCGGGTGTCAAAGCTTTTTGTGACCATCCAGGCTGGGTGGTGAGTAGGCAAGGGAGGGGGGCGGTGCTCAAGATATGAGGAGAGCTCTGGGGGGTTTAAAAAAAAATAAAAGACTGTGATGGATGGAAGGAGGAAGGAATCACCAGGGAAAGGGCGGTGCAGGGTGTTGCAGGTGGGGCTGCGGAGGAAAGGCTGCAGAAGTTGGGCTTAGAGAAGGGAAAATAGAGAAATGTGCCTGCTAGACAAAGAAACCCGAGAAGTGGTGGGGTGTGTTCCTACTTTGTTAAGGAATTTAGGATCTTTTCTCTCTGTATGTCTCATGTATGGATTTGTCCAACAGAAGACTCAGAACCTTTTGTTTTTCTTACTTTTTCTCTACAGCCACATTTCCCCAGTAACTGACAGTCTGTATTAAAGCAGTTGGTTGGTATTCTCGACATAAAGGCCACTTCCTAATGAAATTTTTAAATCTTCTGCAACAGAAGAATAAAATCTCACCTGCATCCCCGGCGGTCAGCGGGGCAGGTCCTACGTTCGTTTCAGTGCACTTTCCCAGTAAGTATTTAGGGGAATTCGTGGTGGCCGTTGTGTTGTTGCCACGGAGGTGTCGTGACATTAAAAATGCTCGTGTCAAATTACAGCCAAATTTGTATCTCGGCCCTTGCCCCGATGCCTGCGCTGGGCAGGCTCTGCCCAGCTCCTGCCCCTGAGCAAGCATCGAGTTTTGCAAAACATGTGGAAGGGTGGTTCTAAACTGTCAGGTGTGGTTACTGTGGGGTTTTTTTTTAATTGGAATGGCAGCCTAAGAACTCCTAAAAGCCAGGAGCAGTTAAAAGGGATTCATGTCTTGGTCATCATCTGTATTTTTCTTTCTTCAGGTTTCAAATGCCCCCAATTAAAGATAATGAGAGAGAGAGAACACGGAAGCACACCAGCAGAGCACTCAAAGTAAAGGTAAGGTACCGTGACACAATACTCCAAATCTGTTGGTATTTATTTCAGACAGAATGCTCGAGGTGCCAGCAGCTCTTGAACCAGGCCTCTGCAGAGAAACAGTTTTATGTTCCATCTGGAGTTGTGTGGGAAAAGTCAGTGATAGAACCCAGAAGACAATTTTCTCCTGCTCTTCAGTGCTCTCCCAGCTGGTCTGGCAGTGAGGGCTTCTTTAGTACCACCAGTGATAAAGCCAGTCAACAGGGGCAGTGCCTACAGTGTTTTAAGTGGATGAGGCAAATGTGGCCTTTTTCTAATTTGTTCCTGAAAAAATGTACCTACTTGAAATTGAGGTGAAAAATTAGCTATTTCTTTAATTAGGTTATTAATTTAAATGTAAAAATTATGATGTTTATAATTGGGGTGATAACTAGCATTTACAGAGATGTAAATGAGAAAAAAAACCCATGTTTTTTGTGAACTCCATCCTGCTTTGCGTTACCGTCCTGTACTGACTCATGCTGCTTTTTTGCCATTTGTAGCTTCTGCCGCGCCAGCTGTGACACCCCCCCAGTGAGCAAAGCCCAGCCCAGAGCACGGCAAAGCTCGCGGGAAGTCACAAGTTATTTTGTGTCTCCTTCAACGGGGTAACTGCCCAGCGATGCAGAGGTACCAGTGTGATGGCATTTTGCTTCCTTTTCCTCATTTAAGTTACCCAAAGTGGCACCTCATTAGATGGATTTACTGGGGTGGAACACGCTGACGCTGTCGCCTCTCAGCGCATTAATTGTGTGTGTGTGTGTGTGTGTGTGTGTGTACAGAGCTTGTATGCAAGTGCTGTACAGAAAGGAGTGGGTTATTTTACAGTCTAGTAATTACTAATTATTAGCTGTGCATTAACTGAGCAGAGGACTAGGCAGCAGGAGCAAGAAAAGGGACTCGGTGCCCTTCCTTTACTTGTGAACATGTATTTAGTGGAACAGGTTGCCTTAAGGCAGCATCACACCGCTTAAAACCTCCTCCAGCCTCTCAAGTGGACACGAAACGTTCCCAGGACAGACAGACATGATTCAGAATGTTAGACGTAGGTTTATTTCATAACTACACAGAGCCTACAGTGGTTTTTTTTCACCATTAAACACTGCCTATGATATATAGTGTTCGCTGACCAGAGATCTGTGGCTGCAGAAATAAAGCAAAGCAAGAACAGCAGGATAAAGAGCTGGCACCTCCTGACTGCATAGTTTCCAATTTCCCCTGTGATTCTCTCCACCAGGTTGTTCAGACAACTACTTAATAATTAATACCAAATCATTTCAAGAGAATTTCTGTGGTCCTGCAAGGAGCAAAAACTGTGAAGGGAAGGTTGGGCTGATAATGAAATTTAGTCTATGAGCGATTTTTATACTGCATTCTTCTATATAAAAATATATCAAGTTCTTGAGATTTTCAAGCACAGCAAATAAATAGTTATGGCTGGTTTGGAGGCTTGTAAAGGTTCAGCTGGAAATACATCAGCTCCGAGGTCAGTAACATCCTTTAAAAGTGGTATTTGCTCCATCGTTTCACTGAACTGAGGAACTCGGACGCTTGGCAGTTCAGTAGCCGAGTTTGAGGCGTTACGTATCTGGAGTAAAGTCACTTTCCTTCATGTTTTAGCTTCCCCCACCCACGCAGCTGCAAGGTGAGTGGGTTTTTTTGCAGTGAGCTATCTCTAAGTGCCCCACGCAGGTTAGTTTTGGGGGTTTGCTTCCTCTGCAAAGGGCAACAGTAGGTAAAACTGCAATTTGTGACTCTGAACCGAAATGAGCCCTTTGGTCTGTACGGACTTAAACTGGTGTCGCTCCCACCGCTTAGCGTGAGGAGACAGGACAGAAGAATGTGGCTATAGAAAAAGAGGAAAAGGTTTCACACCTTCTGTTGGCTCTTAGGTTGCTTCAGGACTGGCTGAAGAAGAGAAAAGTCACGTCAGGAAAAACAGAAGTCCACAAAAGCGCGGCACGGGGCGGTCTTCCAAGCTCAAAGTAAGTGCACGACAAAGTACAGACACCAGCTGTAGATGGGTGTTTGTTAGTGGTGGGTTGTGGACAGAGGTAACCAGGTTCTTTAGGATGAGATGGTCTTTTCCATCATCTTCCATGGCCTCGCTGTGTTCCCCAGCTTTCCTCACTATCAGACTGAACCTTCTTCAGAGGTAAAATAGCAAAAGTAAAAGCAGTTTTAGTCGTGTGCTCCTTCGAGCGGCTCTGGTGGCTTAGAGACTTCTTTCATTCCTGAAAGAAACAGGCAGCTTGTTAGAAGAAAACACACAAACTTATTTCTGTAGATAAACCAAAACTGCCTCATCTGGTTTGGTTTAATTCTGTTTTCTCTAACGGCTTCTAAAATGTACTGATTAAAACAACCAAGAACCGGAAGTTATCAGATACTTAAATAGTAGGTACTACAAAATTTCACCCCAGAAGTCTAATGTAAGTAGGCTCAAGGTTATGAGGCACATCCGAGTGCTGTGACTTGCGTATCTTAAAGGAGTGAGCGCGGAAATGAGGGGTTGCTTGGAAGGCCGGGCTGGGCACAGGCTGCTTTCCGTGTGAAACCCACGCTGTGCAGACCTGTCGGTGGTACTACTCGGTAACAAATGCAAGTACGGATTTGGCTGACAGTACATAAACACCGAACAAGTACTTGCGAAGCTGGGAGTAAAGGTGAAATTGGCACTTAAACCTTTATCGGGTTCATCTTGCAGCGAAGGAATTTTGCTTCAGCTGGAACTTGCACTAGTGATTGACAGAAACCTTGGGAAACTTAAAATACAAACAGTTCTCATGTATTTAGTGATACTGATCTCTTAAATTCAAAGTACACTCATCTTTTCCAATTTTTATAATGGAAAGTATGATTAACTTTTCAAGTAAGCTAGGAGGGAGGGGGTTTGGCTTTACTTTTGTAACCATTAACGGTTCATTCCTTCATGTCCCACGAGGTTGCGAATGCAGCTGGATGGGGTTTAGAGCTCAGTAATAAACCTGCTGCTTGCCAGTGACCCCCACTTTTTATTTTCTTAACCTCACCCTTTTAGAACAGGCCAGATGTTTTACCCTCTGTCCACATCGTTGTCTTGTCCTGGGTTGTGCCCCACCCAGAGTTACTCTCTTAACCCTTGTTCAGTGGCACAACTTGGTGGCACTGGGTTCCACGTTTGGAACACGCAGCTCTGCCCCACCACGTTCCTCCTCCTCACGCCTTTACCTCGCGCCTGGGACAGAGCGAGCTCCCTCGTCCCGTTATCTGGTTTTATCTTGAATCCCTCCTTACAAAGCCACAGCTCTCCTGCAGCTGCTGGGTGAGGCAGCGCCTTGGCCCAAGGGTAAGTTTCAGGGCCGTGGTGCTCAAGATGTTCCAGTAAGAGCTTTTGGAGTCATTAACGCGTGTGGCTGGGAGGAACGCCACCCACCCAAACCGCTCGTGCGCACCAGAGCGTGGCACCCACAGCGGCACCCACAGCACCCTGCCCAGCTAACCCGGAGACCCGGGGCAGAGCTGGCATTAGAGCAAAGGCCACTTCTGTGAAAGGTCATTATGTGTCACAGAGAACAACAAAAGGTGGTTTTATTCATACTCCACCCAACAATTAGCAGCTTCATGCAAGAGCCAGCTCAGCTCCTCGGCTCTCATCGGTCACCACTCTTGTGGCCGACCTAACACTACAGCGTTCTCTCAGGTGTCAGTTTTGGCTGCTGCTGTCTTTGAAGTTAAATTCAGGACTTGGGAATTTCAGAGACCCAGCAGTCAATCATCTCCAGGTAAACTTACGTGCTTCCATATCTCTCCAGTCCTCTCAATGACAATAGTCTGTGATTTATTGACAGGCGAGGTCACCTTGTAGTCATCAGACAAGAGGCCCAGAATCGGATACTGGTTCCTGTACCTGGATTAAGGAGAGTTGCAAACCCTTGAGCTGAAACCTCCAACCCCGTCCAGGTCACCGACTCTGCTCTTGCCACATGGTCCTGCCAGTCATTAATCCCCCAAGATTTTTCCGTAGTAATTAAAAAGCTGATACGGTCGTTAAAGTGTCACTTTGACAGGCTCTAACCCTCCCATCGCCAGCGCAGTGCTCAGGGCTCACTCCTCCCCAGAGAGGAAAACCTCACTCAGCTCTTTCCCCTTGGACAGGCAGCATGAAGACATTTGCAGGAGTAACTCGGTTAGTAGCGGCTGTAAGCACGGAAGATCAGAAGGATGTATTTAAGAAAGGTGAATAACTACGTTACTTCTTAGTGATGATGGCTGTTACACCAGGGGACTGACTGCCTGATAACTTTTCATGCTTCAATCTGAAGAGCTCCTGAGAAAACCAAAAGCAAACATTCAAATGAAATAGGTTTTTTTGGAATTCTTAGTTCACTAATGTCACAACAAAATATTTGCAGAAGTTGCCCTCAAAGAGCAGCCTGAAAAAAAGTCTGTCCTTGCAAAAGACTGGCAGAAGAACAGCAAAAATAAAAATCCTGACCCCAATTCCTGAACCAGGAGAGTACGAACGACTTCCTTGTAAGGTCCCCCCAGTAGGTGGAGGCACAAATACAAAAATTCTTAGGGGAGAAATAAGTTGTATCATTTTACCTCTTGCTGTTGTTTAATAAAAGCATCTTTCTCCTCCAACATGGATGTCAGTTCGTGCAGCCGGATTTGCAGGTCGCTGTTACTGCCGTCTCTCCTCGATATATCTTGCTGGAACTGGCACAGCTGAGACTGTGAAACACACGTCAGGGAAAGCGTCAGGAGTTGGGTGCTCTCAGGATGTACCAAGGGCTCCAGATGTTGGGGATTTTTTTTTCATTAAAAACATGAAGTGTAAGACCTCATGGTTTTCAAGTAAAAATGTTGAGCTGCACGGTAAATTCAGAAAGGGCCAACTGGCCCGAATTGTACCCACCATCAATTAAAGAGTTTTATAACTCAATAAAGCTACTCCAACACCAAACACATTGAACTGGTAGAATATTACCAGTAACGATTTAAATGAGATGTTTCCTACAAACAATTCTGATTGGGATATATTTCGCTTTACTGTTGGGTGTCTTTTGGCTGGTTATCAGGACACCCAAAGGAACAGGAAAGACTGCTCATCTCCTACAGCTAAGGAATTGTGGTTTTCTTAACATCACGGTTATTTTATGTTGTACTGAAGGTTTCTGAGCCATCATTAGTGTCTATGTACAAAGTAACTGCAGAATTCAAAGCTACCTAACAACTACATGAGGTAGAGCTTTCCTGTTGCTGAAATTAAAAAAAAAAAAAGCCGCCATTAAAAAAAAAAAAGCCCGCCGTTCCCCTGCAGTTGGACAAGGTGAGGAATACCCACGAGCCAAGTTAAACAACTCACCCTCAGACTGCGGATCTCGCGATCTTTATCCTCTCTCAAGTTATTGAGCATCTCCACGTAACGGCTGGAGAGTTCATCTGTCGTGGTCTGTAGCGTTGGATTAGAGCAGGTCTACAGAAAACAATTGTTTTATTTTACAAAAAAAGTGTTTTCAGCGCTCATTTTTCAGACGCTGGTGCATCTGCGTGGGGTGACAGCTCCCGAGCCCAGGACAAGCGATCCGTTACCTGCAGTTTAAGGCTCTGGATCTCCTGCTCCAGGGCCCGCTTGCCGTACTCCAGCTCCTTGAGCTGACAATCCTTCTCTCCCTCGCCGAGCCGGAGCGCGAGGAGCTGCTCTTCCAGGGAGCGACACTTGGCAGTGCTCTCCCTGAGCCCTTGCTGGGAAGCACAGGAGTGGGGTGAACACGCCGTTCCCTACGGAACTGACCCGTCACACGCGTACCCACGCCTACACCAGGTGGCCGTTACTCCAGGTACTCGGAAGCCGGCGTGCTGCCTCATTTCTTGCTGACTAATCACCCTGAAATACGGTTTTAGATTTACCTGCTGCTGCCGGTTATTCTCTCTCAGAGAAGCCAACATGGTTTCATATTCTTTCACTTGCGCGCCGTTCCCTACGGAACTGACCCGTCACACGCGTACCCACGCCTACACCAGGTGGCCGTTACTCCAGGTACTCGGAAGCCGGCGTGCTGCCTCATTTCTTGCTGACTAATCACCCTGAAATACGGTTTTAGATTTACCTGCTGCTGCCGGTTATTCTCTCTCAGAGAAGCCAACATGGTTTCATATTCTTTCACTTGCGACTCTTTAAAAGCCAAATCCTTCTTTTTGTCGGTTTCCAGCTTCTGTAGGAGAAAAGTGTTCACAGTCAACAGCTGCGATTTTTCAGTAAATTTTTCCATACTCAAGGTGCAGCATACTGAGTAACTGGTAAGTGATGTTGCAGAACTAAGAAAATACTCAATTTTCTTCAGACTGGGGGGGTTTTTAGCTACGTGGTTGCCCATCACTGTAGTATCTGTGGTGTTTTGTGCGGTAAGCGCTGGGATCCTGGGCACCTCTCTTCCACTATTTCCCAGGATTTGCCAGCTATTAAACAGAAACCAACAACAACAACAAAAACCCCCCAAACATTTCACTGCACAGACACCTTATTCTGTCTTAAAGATGACGGTTAAAACTCCTTCTCTTCTAAGCTTTGCATTTTGCGTCCCATGGGGCGAAGGACTCGGGCTGGTGTGGGAAATGTTCCTGCTTTTCCTCACAGCGATTCTCTCCCATCTGTACCAGCAGCCACGGCTCCGGCTTCCCAACAGGGCTGCCCATACCCTGGAGAACCGCCGGAGCCGCTCAAGTCACCGGGTGACAGGAGCCTTCCTGGCAGCTTGGTCTGGAGAGAACAGAGCCGAGGTCTCTGTGCTTCCTGCGTGTGTGAGAGCACAACCGCAGCTCCGACATCGTGGGGACGCGTGCTGGGTACTCCGGTCCAGAGCTTAAATCTGATTTTGCTCGACAGCATCTTCCTTTGGAAGTCTTTCCTTTTTCAGGCTACAACGAACTGAACACTTGGAAACCACTGCTGGAAGGAAATCGAACCTTGCCGCTGGACAACTCTGGCATTAAAGCAGCTAAACCCGGACGTGACAATTTACATTCCATCCTAACACCCTTTAGACCGACAGGTGAGAAGGAACGCGTGAGGCGAGGGGCACCGGGGAGCACGGCTTACCCCCAGGTCATCCTGCAAGTGGCACAGCTCTTCACGTAAATTCTTGAAAGTGGAAAGCACAAGCCTCAAAGATTTATCTGATGTCACTCTCATCTAGGAGGGAGGGGAGAAAAATGTGTTCCTCTGGTTAATTAATAAGTTTTTTTACAATAGGCCTGACAATAGATAGAACAGAAAGCTGCTATAGAGCTGAAAATAACTCTGAGAACCACTGCACGTTTGAGTGTCCAGTTTGTACAAAGAAACACATTTTCATGCGCTTTGTTCTGCAAATGGCAGTTTTTTAATTACGGCCTTGTAACACAGGCTGACACTTCCCAAATGGAACGAATGAGACAGTACTGCCATTGTACACCAGTAAAGGGGAAAAAAATAAAGGTGTTACTGTTGCACAATCATTTCTGGAGCGTTCGGTGCTTTGTGTGACTTACGCCAATTTAAAAAAATTATGACCCAACCTGAAAAGCCACAGCAGGAGGAGTCATCGGCTCCGAGATCTGGCAAAGCACGTTTGCAGCCCAAGGGCAAGAGAATTTAATTAACATTTTTTAAAAAATAATAAAATTTAAAAATAATTTAAAAATCATGCAATCAAAACTCCTTTAAAAGGGGAAAAAGTCTTAAAGGAGTCAACTGGATGAAAAAAGAAAGGCACTAGTGCCCAACAGTCTGACACTGCTCTCCTGTTGGTTCCTGAATGTTGTTACCTCAGGACTTGGGGCTACGTTGGGGTTTTTAATCAGAACATCTGTAAAAGGTGAGCCCTGAGTTATAAACATTTTACGTAACTGGCAATTGGCGGCCAGTCCCACCTGAAGTAACACACCCACTGTTTGCCTGTGGCTGGTAAAGTAAAGCATTAATGCACAACACAAACAGAAAGAGAAAAGATCTGTGTTCTCTAACAGGGCAAAACCCGAGAGGGTTTCCAGTGAAACCACAAGAAAGCACCAGTAAAGCTCAGTGTAAAACACACAAGGATTCTGTGGCACCGAGTGCCGCAGCGTGTCGCTTGAAGCCACCTGAATGATTCCACACCCTTTACGCTAGAAAAAAGAGAAGCAGCACAAGATAGAGTGAGGTGTGTTATGTGCCAAAGCCCTGGCACGTGTAAACAGACGTCCCTGTTGGGAGTTACTATTGGCTTCCACGCAGCCCCTCCGCCCCACGCACATACCTGGAGCAGGTAACGAATCTGCTGCTTTGTCGCCTCAGACAGTCCTTTGGGAATCAAATCTTCAATCTCTTCAGTCTAAGCAAAGAAGGGAGGAAAGGGGAGACATCTTGATTAAGATTTTTGCTTCATAGATCATAAAAGTTGTTTCTTCACTAATTGCATATCTCTGCTATGAAAAACATGTTTAGTACAAGGCAAGTACGAATGAAAACAGATCAAAGTGTATCCACAAGATTTCCAAAGTCTTAAAATATGTGTCGCATACAAAACCCGAGATGAAGCGATACGTGAAGCATGTCTATTCAAATTGTTGCGTTTAATATTTATTTTAGAAGCAGTATTCAAAACCATCCCCTCTCAAGAAAATAACAGCTGAGGCGAAAACACAACTCCCAGCAGCTGACGAGAGGTAGGAGCAAATCTTGTGCTCGTAAACAACGAGCAGACCGTCAGTAAATGGCCAATGACAGGTGTCCCAGGAGTGAGGGGCACTGCTTCATCCCATTAATCCAAGACTCTTTGCAAAAAAACGCTCAGTGAAAATACAGGGAGCTGTGGGTGAGTTTGTTTTAGAATTAACCCATTGTTGGCACAACAGGAAAGGCTTGAAATTTGACTCTTATATGGGATTAATGCAAATTATTAAAGCTTTCTTTCAGAATTATCAGATTTGCAAATGCACGCCTAGCAGTAGGCTTCAGACTCCCAGTGTTATTAACAAGCAAGAATCATTAAGTAACAAAGCCCAGCATCTCTCATTTAAACTGGCTTAGCCTAATTTTCTGGAAAAGCCGCGCCGCTCTCATTAACACCGTTCGTCAGGAACAGCTCAGGGAGAGCCTGCCTCGTGCTTACCTGGTACGTAAATTCAGTGTCGTGGTTCCTGTAAAACAGAGAAAATCCAAGGGGCTGATTAACAGAAAGAAGCTCGAGAACGTTACAAATTCACGCCCGTATTCGCAACTACGAAAAGACCATCTTTAATAAAGTACGAAGCAAGAAGGTTCTTGATCAGAGTAAGAGCTGTCACCTTCCTTTTCAGGTGCTCAACACCACGAGCTGTTAAGTACGACGCCAGGTAGAAATACCCGAGGAGACCGGAGCACCCCTGGGCTGCCCCTGTCCATTTCTTGGGGCGGTTACCCCAGTTACGGCCAGTTAACCCAGTTATCACACTCCTACCGGGCCGGCTGGTGCTTTACCCAGAGCTACGCTGCAATACAGCAACGTGCCTCAAGCACGCCCTTAGCACTGTCAGGTTTTTTGTGATGCTTAAATTCTGCCTTTTCCCTGCTCTGGGACCATTTTTCTCATTTCCATGAACTTGGAAAGCACCAAACGGGACTGGGAGCGAGGTGGGGAGAATGAAGCCACACTGAGAACATCGCGAACGCTCGGGACCGCTGGCTGCTGCGATTCTGCATTTCTCTTCCCACTCAACCTGCAGGGCTCTGCAGAATCCACAGGTAACACGAATTTGCATGTCGATACTGAGCTTTAGGCCTCGTGGTGGCCGTCTTAGTCCATGGCAGAACCTTACAACCATGAGGGAACAAAGGAAATGGCAATTTGGACATCAGGGATGTTTCTTCAGGACGCAGTAACCGAATTGTCTCATTAAATGTATGTCAGGGCATGCTCCAAGTATACTGTTTGCTCTGGACAAACAGGTGTGGGATACACAATTCTTGCTGCATGTTAGTCTAAATAATGTGAAGCATCAAATTCAATAAATGTACTTGGCTTACAGCATTTTTATCTCCTTGGTTACTGAGCAAATTAGATGAATGTGTAAAATACACACTCAATTCTAGTTGTCGGGAAGAAAAAAGACAAAAAAAATCCTTGCAAACAATACTGAACCGTGCAGTGCCAGGAATTCTGGAATATGGAAAAGAGAGGTGAGATGCCAAATACCTTCCTCCTATCTTCTCCACATGCTGAAGCAAACAGCTGTACAAGTCGTTGGTCTTGCGGTTCAGTTCAGCGAGGAGCTCCCCAAAGTAGCGGCAGTCCAGCTGGTCAGTATTTTCCTGAGAGCAATTCACCTACGAGAAAATAAGCAAGAAAATCTTCATTTGAGTTCCCTTCTTTGGGATGAAAGCTCAACAGGTATAGCTACAGGCGTGTGGGATTTGGTTTTGTTTGTTGCTACTGATTTGCAAGTTGTTTACTCCGTTTTCCTTGGTATTGAGTCGTCCACGCCTTCTGGTTTTCAGTAACCTGTACAGAAATAAATGTCTTCCTTTGCAACAACAGGAAATACGCGAAGTAATATCTTCCACAGCAACGTCAGCATCATGTCAACGTGGAAAGTGTGGAGAATTAGGAAAGCTCGTTAATAAACATGCTTCCAGAGCTGCAGCGGATCAAAGGCCTGTGGGCAGCCCCCCGAGGAAACCAGCCAGGTACAAGAATCCCCACTGCACAAGGGATATTTGCGTCGCCGTGGTTCAAACGTTTTACACGGAGAGTAAAAGAATTTTAACAGCAACCCCAAGCCGAGTGCTCCTGGTTTAAGAGAGTATCTGGCTCCGGGAAATTCCGCGTAGGTCTGACCCTGAGGTCACCACAGATGTTTGCCGTGTCACCTGCGGGCAGAGCAGCCGCGGAGGAGGGGCTGTGCTACGCAAACAAGAGTGTCCACGGGCACCACCCGCAGCCCTTAGAAACTCCCGACTGCGCAACCGAGGGCAAAAAGAGCTCGTTCTGCGCTTCCAGAGAATCTGCATCAAATACTCGCACATCAAACTGAAATACTTCCACAGTCCTTACCCATCAGCTTAGGCAGAAAGCACTCCTGAGCTGAAGTACGTCGAGGTTCTGAAGCAGAGGCACACGCCTTACGTTACTCAGTCGTTGGGGCACAAAGACCGACAGATGAAACCTGACTCAATGCACGGGCAACACTCCCAGATAAATTAAAAACAACAAACCAGCCAGCAGGACTTAACACACTGCAAGCACAACCGATGATCCGTCAGTACACCTCAGTGCAGGCCTACACCAAGAATCGGGACACAACACCTAAAACTGCGCTTTGGTTAATTTTTTTTTTTTCTTAAAGCATGTAACAAAGTCTTGGACGGTTCTAGCAACGCCTGCGATGGCAGCACACAAAGAGGTGACCTGCAGCACCCCCCCACTCTGCTGTTTAGGTACAACGGGTCTGTGGTGCTTTATGGGAGTTTGAACGAAACACCTGAGATCGGGGATCAGCACTTGGTGTCCTCTGCACACAAGCGAAAAGCACACCGGGACACGCGGAACGTTCCGCAAACAGTTCTTACCGCTTCGCAGGTTTGCACGGTCACCCTCCTCACGGCGTTTCCTCGGCAGTCCTCGCTGAGGGAGACGGGAATTATCTCACAGGGGCTGCCGGTCTGTGTCTGCTGGCACTGGTGAGTGACCTGGGGCTGCTCCAGGGGCTGGCAGGGCTCGGCTTGCTGGGGCAGCTGGCACTGCCGCGAAAACTGATACTGCTGCTCCTAGAAACGAGGATGGGTTTTTATTTTCTTTCTCAGCTGCTGGACACATCTTAACAAGATGGAAGCTTAATACAAACGCGTGATTTTGCGTGGAAAGACTGATGAGTTTCGGGTATTTTAATAATCCTAATAAAATCGGGTTTTTTCCTAATTGAACTTGAGTTTGCCATACTCTCACACTTCAAGGCTGCGATTCACCAACTCCTCAAAGTTTAGTAGTTGCAAATGTCAAGCACAGAAGCGACACCCTCCCTGAGCTGCAGGTTTCATTCTGTTGTTACTCCTAACATACTCAGGCAATGGGGACCTCCATTATTTAATTTGAAACACAGGTGTATCCTGTTTTATTAAGTATTTTACAGATAAACCAAGAGCTGCGGTCAAACTACTTGCCGAGTTATTTTTCTAAAAATTTATATTGGTCAGTCTATGTTGGAACTACTTCAAGAAAGTAACTGTCGGTATTTGGGTAAAGACTGACAGCGCCAGAGACACAAACGCAGTCTTCATTGTTAGTCTGAAACAGTAAATTCTTAGTAAAAATACATCAACTGTTCCAACTTCTTTTCTCTTTACATACCAAAATTGTTTCATTTATTTTGAGAACACGTCTTATACCTCAACATGGCAATTCTCAGGTTGGCAGTAGTTCCCAATTAAAAAAACAAACAAACAACCAACCAACCAAACAAAACCCAACCCACAACCAAAAACCACACAGAAACATAAAAACCACGCAGAAACATTACTCTTCTAATCCCAATTTTCTTTTCAATAGGTAATACAACTCACTTGGTGGGGATTTAACAGCTCGTATTTTCTTATTGTCTTTTCATAGATGACATTATTTCCAGGAAAGAAATTCCCCGCTCTAAGAAACGGGGATAACGGCTCCTGTAAAACATTTTATTAAAACCATTTCTAAATGTTGTCAAACAGCAAATTCAGAATTAGCGTAATATTGACGAAAAAACAAGGTGGGGGTTTTGTAATTCGAAGACACATACACTCCAGGGCAGTTCTGTAAGATACACAGGTTTGAGTGTGCGCCCGCTTCAAAACAAAGTGACTGTGCTAAAAATCTAGACAATATCTGAAATACAGTAGAAACAGAGAGAAATCAGTCTCTGCTCACAATCCAGCTTATTAATTGAGACTTGACTGCTGAGGTGGGAGCCCCGAGTGGTGATTCTGAAGTATTTTTGCTCCCTAATATTTTCATCTCAGAGGGATGGGCCACGTGATTTCAAAATCTTTAGCACTTCACCAAATTAGGATCAGGAAGGGAGGAAGGGTTACACAAGCACAACTCCAGCACTAAAGTTTCCTTACCTGATCAGGATTCTCAATAATAATCCTTCGGAAAGTGCCCTGCAAGGAAAAAAATAAGCAAAAATTCAGCGATTACCGCACTCTAAAACCTTTTACGCTCAGAGCTCAGGCTTGTGTGGATTCCGAAGTAACTCGAGTATGGTCACCAGGTGTGAACACACTGAGATCCACCAGCCAAAATCACCCAGAACTGCTTTTTCCACTCCAGAGTAAACAGCAGCGTGGCAGCACGCAACCTGCTGCTCGGTTTTAGAAGTTTGGTTTTTGTTCAGTCCCGTTTGCGGGTCTGAGGGAACTGGCCCTTCTTTCCTGTAAGCGACAGCAAAACAGGACACAAATCAAAAGTGACACACGGGACTGCAAGGATTCCGTGTCCCTGTGCCACTAACGCTCTCCTATTTACAGTCTTTCGTAGTACACCTCAAGGCAGCTGGTGTACGTGATGTACACCTCAAACACTTGTCTCACCAGGGGAAGAAAATCTGTATTTTGCAGGCACGTGGAAATGAAAGGGCAGAGGAACTGCCACCACCCTGCATCAGGCCGATACCCAATGCGCCAAGCACGGGCGATCATTTCAGAAAGTGGTCAGAGAAGTCCCCAACTGACACATAAAAAAGATGCTCACAAGGAACATTTGCCATTCTTGAATGAAAAATTAAATAATGCCCATTTTAAATGGCAGAAATTCATAAGCAGCAGCAGTTTTGTTCACATTCTAATAGATTTTTCCCTTTTTTTTTCCCCCCAGCACTGTCTAAAAGCAACTATCGGTGCTATCTTCCGTTGCGAGGACCACCACCAGTTGTAACAAATCGTACGCGCTGCCTGAAGACTCCCCAGCCGGTTCTTTGATCCCAGCAAGCAAGATTCCCACTAAATCTCACCTAAGGACTTGGTAACATGTTAGTTCACAGCACAGGGGTTATTCTTCCACACAGCACCCACTTAGATCATTTCTCCCCTCACCCCGCAGGCAGTGCCTGGGCAGTCGACGTTGCTGTGGCTCAGTCTCGGTGACGTTCTGCACCGGGTACGAGCCGCCCTGAAGTAGGTCACATTTCCAGCTGAGAACTGTTGCGTAAGTTTAGGAAGCCTGGAGCGGTTTTCCAAATCTCCCAAGAGTGAATCATAACAGCACCAGGAAAGTGAAATCAAAGCAGAAAAGAGACTTTTCGCAGCAATCACAGTAATTAAGAAACCTCGGAATTGTAAGCGGTGCAGAAAACTTAGAAAGCTGCTTACTCCTCCTCCCACGCGTCGCGTATTTGAGGTAGGTCTGTCAAGGAAGGGACAGCAGGACCCTGTATCGGGACGTAACGCCGAGAAGGGACAACATCAGGTCTAGAACGTGCAGCCCAACTCCTACATCGCTCCGACACCCGCAGAATTTGGTAGAATACTTAAAAAATGAGCATTTACTGGTAGTCCCCGCACAGCAGTTCCCCAGCAGCCCTGGTGCGCCGTCGGAGCCGGGCCGGGCAAGCCTCCAGCCTCCCGCCCGCAGCGCCGCAGCACATTTTTTTTTTTCGGGAGCCGATGACCATCGTCTCGCACAGGAAAACAAGACGAGCCCCACATGTGAAATTAAAAGCCACGTTTTCAATTTACTGAAAAGTGAGACAAACCTGCCTGAGCTAAACCGTGCTGCCACAGGGCTCTGGGATCCAGAACTCACGCCGTCTGGTCTGGAGGGGTCAACGAATCAAATTATCTGGTTACCCACGTTTCCTCAGGAATACGTTCAGAGCTGAGAAGGTCAGAGCATTTTAAGCTGAAACACGCTTTTACAATATTCAAAAGGATGGTCTAATCGTATGTGGAGCGTTATACAAAACCTAAGAATGTTTTGCTTGGAGAAAATTACACTTGTTTTTAAGACACGCAAACTCTTTCATTTCCAAAGAACCCCGATGCAGATGCATTTCCCTCGCTCCTTTGCACACAGGGATTTGCCTGCCCTTCCTCCTCCCATACCGGCCCAGCAGGCTGGACTCGCACAGCCTGGGAGGGACCGAGGAGACACAAACCCCGTGACGCCGGGCTCGCCTGACCGACCCACGCGCCGCTCCTGGCTCCGCGATGCCACCTCCGAGGCCTCCAGAGCTGGTCCCTCGCTGCAGGAGGGACAGGGCGACGACGGCCGATGACCCATTTCGGGGTCGGCAGATGACCTCGGGCTGTCTCCATTCTTCCAGCAGTCCCAAGGGGCTCAGGCCACTCTCTAATTTCCTACTGCACTCCAGAGATGTGACATTTGTTAACTGGGAGAAGGGAGCGGAAGGTGGGACTTCAAAAGTGCTGCTGTGGATTTCGGCAGCGTGACTGGGTTTGGGATTTATAACGGCCTGACCAGTTGTTCTGGGTCTGCGTTTGTAAGGAAAAATGCTGTTATGCTAACGCTTTCATAATTCCTTTTGCTAGTCCTTGTGATTTTTAAATAAGGTTTCTGAATTTCAACATAAGCATTTAGCAGATATATCCAGTTATCACATGCAGGTTTCATGCAAAAATAAGCAGCGTGATAACTTTTATTTCAACAAGTTTCCATCAGCTTCAGACAAACCAGCGATTAAGGTGAGAATTTCACCCATGTGAAAACCTTTTATCCAGAACAGATTGGCTTGTTAATTACAAGCAATCCAGTCACCTAATGGGAATTTCTGAGCTACTTGGCAGGTGGAAGATGGAAATGGCAGGCCAGGTTTCAGGGCTGTTTCAAACACCACAGACAGATTTTACAAGCTGGTTAATATTATACTGCTTCCCCAGTGGGAGGCAAGAGCCCTTGGTCCCTCACAGAACCAAGCCCGGCCACCAGAAGATCTTAGACAGTTTCTCACGTGGACACACAACTTTTACAAAGGCTTCCAGGATTTTGCCCTCTGACAGCAGACACCTCGTTTGTGCCATTTTTGTGATCACAGTGGAAGGGTTCACATGTGTAAGCCATACTAGAGTTAATTCTAAACAATATTTTTCCTTTAGAGCAAGCAGGCAAGAGCAAAATTTGCCATGAATGACTACTCCAGGTGAAGCTTGCCACAGCCGGGCAAAGCGCTTGGCTTCTACAAAGTTAGACTTGAAAAGTGAGGAAAAATGAATCCTGAGCCACAGCAAATACAGCCACGTACGCTCGATGCACACACCAGCTTCAAATTTTCCCTCCCTCCAGCTTACGTAGAACGTACAGAAACACAATGGAAGACGCCAGCCTAAACAGTAAGACAGTGTTTCAACAGCGATGTAGATGTTGGTTATCACTCATTCACAAAAGCTCTGCAGAAGCAAATTAAATATTGCTCAAAGCAGCCGTCCGCCTTATCAACGGGAAGAAGCTGGAACGACGGCTCTAGGCTGCCATTAACAGAAAACCCCGGTGTTAAAGCAGCTACGCGCGGGGTATCGGGACGCTGTTTGGTTCAGGGAGCTCTGGGTGATGTGCTCAGGGGGCATCTGAGCCACCGCTGGGGAAACTCCGTGCACCCGCCCAGCACTTCTTTCCGAGGGCTCCCGCTCAGCACCCAGCACGCAACTGCGCTCTGCTCCAGCTCCCTTCCCCCTCTGTTACTGTTTTCGTCCTTAATAACTTCCTAATGACCTTTATTAAGCGCCTTCCCTCTCTGCCATTAAAACTGCAACCCACACAAAGCCCGATCTGAACTACACCCTCTTTCGCCTTTAAAGTCTTAACTCAGCAAGACAATTCAGCAAGAAATTGTTTTTCGTCAGCGCGACATAATGGATTCAGTGACTAAAACAGACGTTGAAAATTAAACACGCTCCGTAGAGCAGAGACAGCATTTCGGTGTAGGATCAAATCAGCCACGCGCTCACCTGAGGAAGCCAGGGACTGCAGTGTTATTCTAATGCGCATTTAATTAATTGGACGCAATTTGGATTATCGCCTGGCCTAGCTGATCACTTATCTGGGAGGGGAGAGACAGGGGTTGCGCTCCTGCCCCAGCAGGGGATTAAGGGCGGCAGCGTGTGGCAGCCCAGTGCCACCAAGCGCGGCGGCTCCTGCCAGAGCCCACGGAAGCCGTCTTGCGCGGGAAAGCAGCCTCAAACGCTGCAAATGTGCCCGGGAAAGGAAATGAGACATCCCACCGGGCTTATTCCCTATTCCTTTTCGCAGATCGGTATTTTTATACCGCAGGATTAAGCAGAGTTCAACCTGAAGCACATACATGTGCACTCCAATCCCACTTCTGCCGACACTAATGATGGTGTAAGATCTAAATAAAAACAAAATTTAACAGTAAACTCTGATCTCTTTTTCCGCTTTTACAGTCAAAGCTGTTCTGAAGGGATCGGTTTCTACTCTTCCTTTGGAGATTCAACTCGGCTATCGAGCGCATACACCAGAAATGCGTTAAATTCCATCGATGCCTTCAAGCCGTTCCCTGACTACACACGCTGCAAAAACCTGCC